GAGACGTATCATTGCGTGGGGTTTATGCCTCTAAGTGTTCATGTTTTTTTCTGGCCGCCAAATAAAACCGCGTATGTGGAATTGATATTTTACTGATGCTACGGCCACAACAATAACGATATGTTTTATATTTGTTTCCGGGTGAGGCTTCATTTTATTTTGTCGCTACTCGATATATTGTTGTGATTTTCATTTGTACTTTGAAAAAGGTCACCGAGAAGACCGAAACGTTAGTAAACAGTCAACCCCACTGGCAAATTACATGTAACACGACGTGCGCTCCACTAGGGCGTGGTAAATACCACACTTGACAATAATCGAGTTTTTGTTAATACAAACTAAAAAATAATTGATATGACAATTTTGACACATGATTATAACTGATTTCTACATCAAAATTAAGTATCGAAACTATCATACGAGTAGTGGATCACATGTGTGACGGCAATTAGCTTCAAGTCCCAGAGGAGCGATTTAGAGAAGGGGTGTTCCGTTAAAGGTACTTTCCCCTATCAAATTGCTTCCAGACGGCTGTGAAAGATCGACCTATTGCTCGCAACTGAGCACGCAACATTAACATTTTCGATGAACGCTACAGCTAACAGTTAATTATAATGAACAGTCCAAATCTCATTTACTCCGCGTCAACGCAAACATGATCATCCGATCGCGGCTTTTATTCACTGGTTGGTGCCCTACCCAGGCATTTTGGCCCACTGGGACTGAACGTCCCGCGCTGATGTCTTGACGAGGCGTAAATGGCATTTCAATGCACTTTATCCTAAGAATCGTAAAAAACCGACAAAATGTCATTATGTAGACTAGGTAGTTTTTAGTGTGCAAATAGTTCATTCCATGTTTGCTCGCTATGATCGATGTTCGCTGACCTGAAGTGTACAACAGCTTGTACTAAGTTAACATCTTGTCGAAAAACTTACATTACGTCACAAAAAACCTAAGAAATGTCAAAAAAAACCGACAAATTGTCACTTTTCGAGGCACGTAATACCCTTGCGGGGGAAGATCTAGTCTATACCCATGACTTTTCATAATGAAGAAGCTGCGATAAAGACAAACTTTCTGGAGTAATTTACTGGCAAACCCCGTCATCGTGACAAGCAACCGCAATACTTCATTTTTAAGTAAAAGTCCTTTAAGTTATTCTAATCCGCGCAAGAAGTGATGAAGTAGAGGGAAAACAGACACTGGCGTATCACATAAAATATGTAAGAAATAACAGCCAAATTTCAGAGGAAGTGCTTAAGCCATAGAATACGTATTAGAGGGGACAATGACGTAGAAAGTGGAGCAAACACGATGCTAGCAGAAGAATAGTGGCATGCCTGAGACGAGGATAACAAGCCAAGGTAGCTATTAAGCTTTATTATACCTCAGCAACTGCGAAGGTAAAGTATTAATACAAGTGTGTAGCTAGCCGTTAACATAGGGGTTAACAGAAAAACTAACATAACAGTCATCTTGATAATTCCCATAATTTTTGAAGAGTTTTTTTTCGACAACGTATCATTTACTTGTATTTACGAGCCAGTAAAAGTTCTGTAACTGTAATATTTACCTTTTAAGTTCTCTTATTATCAGTAAAATGAGCTTTAGGATTAGGAATTGTCCCTGAAATTACCCAGCCAGAATGAATATCTTCATTAATTGTTACAAAATACAACTAATTAAGTCATACATGATATGACTAAGGTTGCGCGAATACTAATATTCGACACTGTTCGACTTCATGACAAATCACAGAGTTAAATTTTGTCATCTGCGCACAAGTTATCTGACGAAAGGATATATACACATTCTGAGTTTATTACTTTTTGGATCTATAATAGTAAGAGCATCTTTAAATGGAATAATATACAACTGTGTACAAAAAAAATATAGTCTAACAACCGTCGTAAAGAATGAAAAGGGTGTGGTATTAGAATATACACAGGATAAATCTTGCCAAACTTCGGGAGGAATATTGAGAAAGCAAGTCCATATAAACACTAAGCGTCAAATCATTTTTGAAAACTCGTTTTATCATAAATATAGTAACCAATTCAACCAATTCTGTTAGGTTAAAATTTGGCAGGTATAAACGTAAATCCAAATATTCAAATAAAATGAGATAAGGAAAACGTTTTATTAGAACCATAAATGCTCGTGGATTGGATTCTATGGAGAATTTTATTTTAACATACATCGTAATCAATATTCAATTTGGATTTTTATCCCCACATCTGTGCACCCGAAAATTCAACATATATCTACGAACAATATCGACGATATATCAATACAGTCAATCATTTGGTACAAGATCAACATATGAATTTATATATTGACAAAAACTCCAATTATTGTAAAAAAACATGGGGTGCTTGATATTAAATGCTAGAATTATTTTTCAGTTGCTAAGAAGTCTAACCAGCTTCAAAATTCGTACGAGAGCCAAGTGCGGCAGAAAAATAATCAAAATTTGAAAGATGAATTTTGAAATTTGGTAAAAATAGATTCTTCAGTTTAAAAAAAGATTGTAAGATTCGGAAAAGTTTGAACAAAATTGGAGAATATACCAAAAATCGAAGCTGTCGGTAGTTTTGTTGCTCTGAAAATTTATAAAATAAATTATAGTATAAAAAACTAAAAAATACGCCTCAATAGCAAATCGGACTAAAACATGGAAAATAATTTTCAAATATAGAAGTTACTACAATTGAATGACCAACAATCAAATAGGACCAACTAATTTGATATAAGGTCAATATCAAAATGAAGATATTAACAAAACATTCTATTATAGTGGCTAACCGCAATTCAGCGTGTGAAAGTGATTCACAGAATCGGGCAGTGGGCCGCAGAATTCCTAGACCAGAGCACCGGAAATAGCACCAGGTCACCTTCAGCTTTCGTATTTACGGTCGACAGAGATTATAAAAAATGACCTCCAACGAGATGGAGAATCGAGTACGATTTTCTGCCACAAAATTATTAGGCCAGGAGAAGTGCTTTACTACTAAAAATACAATCCGATATTCTTAAGAACGGCTATAAAATTAGTATTCTAAATAAGAAAAACGTTGTAACGATTCAATTTATCAACATGTAGATTTTTAGTCGACGTAACGATGAGAAATGTGCGTATCTTATTTCACCCGGATCTTGAACCAATTAATATAGATGAATAAATCTATACCAAAGGAATTCGAAAAATGACTCATGAGTAGGATGATAAATTCAAAAGTCTATGTCCAAATCAATACAATTTTACAGCAGGACAATCTACCACAGATGGTTTACTTAAGGGCCGATTTCACCAACATTAATATTATGGACCAATGGGAAAATACCTTATCGAAATGCAACTTGACGGAAGCTGTCAAAGGTCTCTGAATATTAGTGATTTATATTGAAATATTGAATAAAATCGGGAAAATTCGACTGTATTATAAACTTTTTGATTCCAACATGATGCTTTTGTACAGAAAAAACAGGACAACTTTCATGTATTTTGATATATGTTATAGGTTTACATTTAACAGTCCGTTATCCCCCTCAGCGAATGCGGCAAATAATAGGTCGATTTTCTAGCTGTTAAATTTGGCAGCAGATTTGGACGTTTGTTAATGCATGGCAGTCTCGAATTTACCAACTCCAATATATTGAAAGTTATCATTACATACCTGTTGAATAGTGTGGATTTGTCTGTATTTTGCAAGATAATAGAATATAAAAAACATTCCATCCGATTCATCATCTTCCTTTACCTCATAATAGTAATCATTTATTAATTTATGGGTTAATGAGTTTCTTCAAAGCAATAAAAACATTATGTCCTCTCCATCCTAAAACACAAATAATATGTGTAAGACGTGTAAATCCCTACATCTCCCTGATGCATAATGCAATTACTATGAACACATACAAAAAATTATGAAAAATGTCTCACAGATAATGGCTTTTAACTCCAAAAATCAAAAACCTAGTAATGCTTATTGTTTGTCTATTTTTCTTTTTTGACTGGCGGGGATATCTATCTGACACTCACAGGGATGTCAAGTCTAACGACGGTCACGTCCCGTCTTGGAGGTTGCGAAATGAATCTTTTACATTTGCTGGTTTTGAATTTTTTTCGTGAAAATTTACTAGGTATCACGATTATAAGCATCTTTGGTAGATTGTTCGATCCGGAATTTATGAAAATATTTTTGGTATCATCTAACCGTTGCAATCAGTGCACAAACACTGACATATGGTTTATAGCATAACCCGCTGCCCTATCAATACAAATTTAACATACAGGTCGCCTAGCCGTGGGGATGCAGTGGTCGGGATGAATATCACGGCAGCAACTGATGATTTGGGCATGTCTGGTAACAACGTATGAAGTGAAACTCGCTAACTTCACAAATTTGAAGATTTTGCACAATTTCTCTGATAATGATGAAAGACAAGTCTGATTTGGCAGGGTAATGTCGCAGCCAAATGGCAGTCACTCTTTCTGACACAGTCCGGATCGAAAGATGACGATACTGGTGTAATGTATTGATACTTCTAAATATAGGATCGTATCGAACATCCCTACTATCAAGATGTATAACCCAAGGTACCGACGGAGCTATATTGCGGCGTCATGGAAATAATTTTAAATTTTCATTTGCATTTTTTTAAGTGTTGTGCAATGATTTTGGGAAAAATGTCACGAATAGTCTTATAAAGCATAGTAGAGTATATTTCAACAGTTGGCGGAACTTACTCCACTGGGACCAGGAGGGTGAAACGGGATATTAATGCACCATCCGGCAACCCTGTCGCACCCTAACAAAATGGCCGCTGATAACCACACAAGTCACCGTGTTGTCATTGAATAGCATGGAATTAAACCTTCAGAGTATATGTTTTGTGACTGGTACCAAGAGTTGAGAGATCCCATACATGTGTCACTCCTTGAAATGCAATAATCAGCTGTATTCAAATAATGTCTAATATAAATATAACGTAGAATGTATACTCGTGAAAAAAGAAAAATATGGCAAATTTGTAGTTTTTTTGCAGGTTTTAGGTTTGCTAGTAGCGTTAAGGCATATATTTGGGAATTTCTTAATCACTGTGAATATAGTGTGGATGTTTGTTCAGTTCCTGAACAACGAAAAATATTCAACTTTATTGATGTATGGATATCAAAAAACCTTAATGGTTTTGTGGGAATATCAATCTAAGGTGCCATAATGGTTCTGATGAATGATGAATGAATGAATGTTTGGAAACAAGCAATATCTTTTGGTACAGCCTGTCATCAAGTAGGTACTTAACACGTTCACTGTGAATGACGCTGATCCGCGTCCGACCGATGTTTAACGCAAGGCGGCGGGCGCGGATCCGCGCTTCTGGCTGATACAAACTCACAAGACTGTGGTGTTGTCAGTTTGTACCGCACTCGCTTTCTGTTTGGTCACCTACATATTGAACATCTTTTTGGACTATTTTACGCGTAGGATCAAGTTTCGTTTATTTTTACATTGCGCAATGGCGGATAATGTGGAAGCAGGTTGTTCACGTCCAAAACGAGTGAAAACGTATTGCAACCGTAATAAAGGGCTTACAGAAAAAGAACTGTATAGTATTCTTGCCAATTCGGGTAGTGAAATCGAGAATCTAAGTGACTCAGATAATTATGTTCCCAGTTCAGATGGAAGTGAGCAGTCTGATGCAAATATGTCTGAAACGAGTGATGATTTTTCCAGCCCACAGAAAAATCTTTAATAGGGTTTCAAGTCGTGTTACTGCACGGAAAAAAAACGAGACAGAAGAAGAAAATGTATATATGAAATAGTTTTCAATTACACAACGCACATCCAATAGGCTTACGACGCGAATCCGGGCTTCGCTTGTGCAGCGCCTAAAATCGTTTAGCCGCTACCGTGCGCGCGGCGCGAGGCAGGTCGCAGCGAACGTGTTAATGGCTATCTGCAAGAGGTTCATGTGAAAAAACACCCAGTATCACATGTCAATTGAAGAAAATAATATAAACATGAGTAAAAAATCAACAATAGTAATTAAAACATGAATTTAATTCAAAAATCAAACATTTCTTAAAATTTTGAGTGAATTATATGTAATTTGTTAATATTCAATAAGCTGGTGATGTTTCAATGACAAGTTGTCATCTCATACTTTGACAGTATTTTGTTTTCAACAGTTCCTATTGGTTGCTAAAATTTACTGATTGGAACTTGAAGCTCATTCGCTGTATCTGACGGTCTGGTACCCTGTAGGTGGAGAATAACGGACTGTTGTTGGTAAAGTTGGCCCTAAGTCTAGTGAATTGATGAGAAAATTCCATCTATTTATGTATTTGTCGATCTGAAAAAGGCATTTGATACAATTAATCACAGTTTACGGTTATATTTTAGACAAATTGGGTTTTCATGATAAGATATATTCTTTAATGCAAAGTTATTTATCAAAAGGAAATGTTTGTGAAATGTGAGGCACCTCAGGGTACAGTGTTAGGCTCTCTTTTAATCAATATGTATTTGAATGATATTCAAAACTAACTGTGTAAGGGTAACTCTAGTTTTGTAAATAGCAACTAAAATAGTAATTCTAATATTTGATGTCAAGCACTCCGCGCATGTTTATTATAACTGGATTTTTTGTTAATATCTTACCTTCTATACTGAAAATATTCCAAATAAATTACTCATACTTGATTGTTGGTCTTCCTATTGCAGTACTCAAACTCTGCTATACTTTAAAATTATTTTTTACTCATTAGTTTCCGTTTTATTTTTGTTTTTTAAAATAGAATTTATTTTTTGAATTTTCAATCTCAATAAGATAACAAAAGTACTTATAATCAAGGACTTCGATTTTTGGCATATTTTATATTTGACAATTAATCTTTTATATATATATATATATCTATTTTTTTCTTCAAATCCAAAAATGGCCAATTTTTTTCAAAATTTACAAATCCTAAAATTATTTTCTAAATTTCCGAATTTGATGATTATTTTACAAATCTTTGAATACCATTTTTTCAAAATGATGAAATTCAATTTTCTTTCAAAATTATCATGGACTATTGACCCCTGTGCAAATTTTCATGCTAATCAAACTTCTTGAAATAGGCTATTAAATGCGTGTTATTAACGCTTTTCAACATATCTATATATTCAAAGTAACCTCCTTAGCATAGCAGTAAGCTTCAACACACACATGCCACTTAAGCAAGCAAACCTTGAGAAATATCGTCCATTCCTTGCCCCGTACTGGTATGGATACAGGACGCTGCCTGTAAATATTGATATATAATATCAAAGGCGCCAAAGAAAATGGAGAAAGGGAACTAAGAAGCTGCTTTGCGTTGCAAAGAGATAGGGCGATCGATGAAATCTATTAGCGCGAGAAAAATTTTTGTTGACTCTTTATTATTCCATCCGACGTGTTTGAGCTTCAAGATCGCTACACAGCAAATAGAGTTTATCGATTGAGGCGTCTTGTTTCTTAAATGGCATCTAGGATGGAGCTGTTGACTCGCCGTGACAAGCCCCTATTTAGATCTCAGATTGTTATAGAGTTACCCTTTTGAAATATTGCTGAATCAATGCAATGGAAGTAATGTAAGCTGCTGCGATACGCACAGTTTTGTCGGTCACTGTTGCTCGATTTTGTATTCCTTCTGATAAGACACTCTGACCAAGTATATGTGATACACATTACAAACGGTATTACCAAGATATCGTCGACACATAGCTAATATATCCGAGATATACAGGGGTTTTCCTTTACACGACTTGTAGAGAAAATATGCGGATTATTTTAGTAGCATATCTATCAATGTCCTATCCCTCGATCACGTCCACACTGCCAGCGCCAGCGTACAGTTATACGACGTACGCTATAATGTAAATACGGATCTTACGACAGAGCCGTACTGGGAATTTCGATTTAACTGAACAGTGGGTACTTTTTCATTTATTTTTTTTACTTGTTCGCTCACGTTTCACCACACATAAGTTTTGTTATATCATGCGTAGTTGTCTTAGAAAAACAGAGATATTGGGCTCCGCAAACTTATTTAAATCTGAACCAAACCGAAGCCGATCCTGTCCTATCCCTCGATCCCGTCCACACCGCCAGCGCCAGCGTACAGTTATACGACGTATGCTACGATGTAAATACGGATTTTACGACAGAGCCGTACTTGGAATTTCGATTTAACTGAACAGTGAGTACTTTTTCATTTATTTTTTTTACTTGTACGCTCACGTTTCACCACACATTAGTCTTGTTATATCATGCGTAGTTGTGCCTGGAAAGGAAAATACCTGCACAGCGGTAACAGATGCTATTCTATTCGTCACTATTTGTCAGAGCAGTCCGTAAGACCTTTGCTATTGGTTTAAGAATCGGTAAGTGTGTCCGGTCTAGTTGCCCCGACAAAGTCAGGGGATAACGAAGGGAAGAAGGAAGAAATGAAGGGAGGAGGTAGAGCAAAAAGGGGTGCCTTCGCAGCTTTAACTAGAATTTGGGAATTACAATTGATCCCAAAAATTAAGTTAGAGATTGGCTGTTGAAGAAGAATTATGATTTAGACTTAAGTTGACTCTTTTGACGATAAAATCAAGCTTCCGGCATTCTCTATGGGGCCTTCATCAGGATTCTGAAAACACAATTGTGGTGCTAGCAAAGAAAACAGGACAGATTTTAATTGTCAGACAACTTCCTCGTCGGTGAGGTTGCAGCCACAAGGTGTTCCAAAACTTTTCAAATACCCCCTGATCATGTTATTGCGAGTCTAGATGTAGTTTCACTGTTCAGCAATATATATTTAAAAGCATGCATCAGATCCATCAACAAACATTGGGATCTAATTTGCCAACACAGCAACCTAACTCTGGTTTCTTTCATCAATATCGTAGAGTACCTTTTCCAGAACAATTATTTTACCTTTAATAACAAAGTGTTTTCACAAACACATGGCTGCCCCATGGGCTCTGTTTTATCTCCAATTTTATCAGAATATGTAATGGATGACCTGCTTGATGTTGTTATTCAAGTACTGCCATACAATCTAATTTTCATAAAAAGATATGTGGACGATATAATCGTTTGTCTTCCTTATGATAGAGTGGATGATATTGTTGAGGTTTTTAACAGTTATGATCCCTACATCCAGTTCGCCGTCGAAAAAGAAGATGACAATCAATCTGTTCTCTTTTTGGATGCAAGATTGATTCGTACCAATGACAACATATTACTCGTAGACTGGTACAGGAAACCAATTTCTTCCGGAAGGTTCCTGAACTTCAGGTCTTACCATGAACTCAAAATAAAAATAAACCTGGTGAAACAAATGAAGAAATTCTATGAATTATGGCAGTATTGAGGTTGTAGATAAAGAAAAAAGACTCTCAAAACGTTTATTTTGAGCAATGTCCCACATTTCCATGACAGATCGTTGCATGAATAAAAAGGCTGGTGTTAAACAGCTCAGTGTCATTTATTCCTACCTGTTGAATTGCGAAAAACTAGAATGGCTACATATCCAAATTGAACCAACATCTTCACAAAATTAGAATACATTTTCTCAGTCACATTTTTAATATAAACTCACATAGCCCATCTTTTCAAGGTTGTATCAATATCACACATTCTCACACTCATATGAACTACACACTTTCTTCGAAAACAAGTTAATTCAGCATTTTAGTAATTTTGGGTGGCGGTTTACCGAGCGTCCCTCGTATACTTCATACCCAAAGCTGAACAGGGAGGTTCACAGTTCCACGGTTTGTCGCGTCAATCACTTGTCATCTGTCGACGCTTTATCTTTCCGTACCGTCCCCCTCTCCACGTGTAGCCGAAGTAGAAGGTTAGAGATTGCATTCCGATTGGTACAACAAGATGTCGTCTCACGTGTAATATTTTTAACATGTTCGGGTGGATTGATATTTTTAACATTTAACGAAGGTATCTGTCGTTTTTCAAAAAGCCCAATGTCCCCGTCCTTTTGTTTTTACACTGATTATAAGTTCGATCCTCTCTAGGTTCGTTTTGAAACACCTTGTGGCTGCAACCTCACCGACGAGTAAGTTGTCTGACAATTTAAATCTGTCCTGTCTTCTTTGCTAGCATCACAATTGTGTTTTCAGTATCCTGATGAAGGCTCCATAGAGAATGCCGAAAGCTTGATTTTATCGTCAAAAGAGTCAACTTAAGCCTAAAAGATTTCCCAATTAACAATTGATTGTGTTTTGTGCCCAACTGGTCGTTGGCTTTGGCAATGACCACTGCTCACGTTATATATATATATATATATATATATATAACAAGTAGGAAAATAATGGGCAAAATCCGCAAAAAGGTGGAAAGTGGATTCGAGCAGAAAATAGGATAGGTAACCCGAGCGACACGTATTTCTGCTGGTTGGCTTCATCAGGCCCAAAATGAATGCACATATGAAACTACAAAAGTAGATACACATGCCCACACATCCGGATACGGGTGTAACCTGAGGAAACGAAGTTGGAGGGAAAAAAACGACACACGAAGTCCACAACAAGAGCCAACCTACACATTGTAGTATAAAATGGCTATACGACCTCGAATTTTCAAGGAGACGTCTAACCACCACCACGCGACCGGTTATAGCCACTTGCTGTGGTGCTTCAAGCCCAAAGGATCTACAAAGAGAATATGATCATGCGGAGAAAAGTATATAACAACAAGTAGTAAAATAATGGGCAAAATCCGCAAAAAGGAGGAAAGTCGATTCGAGCAGAAAATAGGATAGGTCACCCGAGCGATACGTATTTCTGCTATATCGCTTGGGTTACCTATCCTATTTTCTGCTCGATAGAAATACACACTGAAGCAATTACTGGAGAGTATCAATGCAGTATCACTAACCAGATTTTTACGTTCCGAGAAATTCAAGCTGAGAGCTATGAATATGGAAAACCGACTGTGCTACTCTTGAGTGACTTCAAGCAGACATTTATTTGATCGAGTAAAAAGGA